TTTCGTAACGAATTCATCGATCTACCGAAACATCGAACAGAACGCAATTGTTCTTTAGAGACAGAGTATTGGGTTGATCAAAAAGTAATTGCGTTTTTTCCCGATAGATGGACATACATGTATATTTTAAAACGTAACTAACTTCATTACGAATCGCAGATTCACTGTGCAACTTAACAGCTAACTGTTCAAGCTTGTTTTAGAAAGAAAAATACGCGATTTCGTTAACAATTATTTTTCAATCTGATTTCTATATGAAAAATCAACAAGAAATGTTAATCCATAAAAAATTGTCTGATGTGTATGATGGAAACATGATTGAACCAAAGGTTAGCATTGGTTCACTGATTGTAAGTCAGTAAGTTATTCTTTTTAAAAAAAACTAGTAACGCGTAATGGATATAATCTACGAAAGAAAAATGAGGAGGATCAAACGTTTCGATAAGGGTGCAACGTTGCACGTTCGACGTTTCAGAGGCTAAGGTACTAGAATATTATCTTCACAGGAAATGACCTCCGAAAGGATCACTGATTTCACACTATCTCCAAATTAGTCTGTTAAGAAACGATAAGCATAAAAAAAGAAACAGAATACTGAGTTAAATACGTATTTAAGAAACGTCAAAAAATATAATTTATAATCTATATTTAACTATAAAATATAAAGTATAATCTATATAATATATAATATAAATAATATATAACTATATATAATATATAAAATATAAAATATAATCTGTGTATAATATATAAAATATAAAATATAATCTATATATATAATGTATAAAATATAAAATATAATCTATATTTAGTAATATCCTCTTATCAAGCGTATTTTTATCTTCCACGACATATTGAAATGCTTGTCTTTCCTTTTGAAGCTTTCAAGTAAGAATATAATTATAATAAGCTAGATTGCATCGAAAACGAAAAAAAAAAAAAGAAAAAAAACAATAGGGTTCCCTTCAGTTTCGAAGGTGGACAGAACGCACTTTTGGCTTTTTAACCAGAGACGGTACCTGGTGTGGGAAACGTGAACGTGGAAGTTGGAGCGGGTGAGTATTTACTCGAATTTAATCCGTGAAAAGCGATAAAAAGCGGACGGCGGGCAGGTAGCTGCTCGGTGCAACGACGATATCAGCCAGCGCGGGTACGTACTCCAATACTGTGTGGCGACTGTTGCCTCGGAATGAGGTTGACCTTGGCATTCCCGTACAGATAATAGTGGTACCTAGTTGATGGCTGCGTACGCTTCTCTCCCCTCTTTTCGATGTCGTACCCTCATTTCGCTTTTCTTGCCAGCTTGCACCCCGCGTAGCTGCCTCGCCGTCTACCGAGAAATGGAATAAATCGAATGACCACCGCCTGTTTCGCCTTCGCTCTCCCTATATTCGCGACGAGACACCACTACGCTACAGCGCGCCAGCACATTTGTTGAAAGAGACGGGGACTCGATTTGATCGACGACGACGAACCGTAAGAAGTAAGAAGTTCCTGCCGGATGGTTACTCTGTCACGAGCAACGATCAACAAAACCGGGCTTTCATTTTCTTGTTACGCTCGTGGAATATTAACAGGCGAGCACAGGGATTGACTGGCTGAGAAATGTGAAATTTCGCTGAAGAAACGAAGGTCTTTCGTACTAGGTTTAAAAATGATTGGACGTTGAGGGAATGTCTCGATTTAGTCAGAAGCTCGGAGGTGGTTGAACATATACTGGGGCTGGTGGTTAAACAGCCAAGATTGAAGAGAGAGGTCGATAGGGCTGTCGAGACCGTTAAGGAGGAGCGCCGCGACGACTCGCAGAACGCGAGTCGCGTGGAGGCGTGCGACTATGTCAGGTATGCAGCCTCGGGTCTTTTTGCAGCTTTTTTTTTTATTACCTCCTACTACCACGAGGAAGACGAACGCGCCATCGCGTCGCGTCGCGTAGCGGCCTCTCGCAAAAAGTAACATCCTTATCCTTGCTCGCGGGTTCAACCTCTGACACACGCACGGCTCTGAAAGATCTGAAATCCGACGAAATTTCACGGGACGAGTGTTTGTATCGTCGAAGCGGCAGATATGTGACAAGTGTGAATTGTACAACGATGCGAATTAGCAAGTTGCGAAAGATTTGCACGTAGAGTCTGTAGATCGTATTTGCGTAGAGAATATATTGAACAGTTTGGAGATTTTGTTGTATCAGATTAATAATTAATAATTGAATTGAATTGATTTTATTATACAACTCAATCATTGAATTAATAATTGAGTGAATTATTAATTTGTAACGTAATAATATTGAATAATTTGATTATTATTATAATAATTATTAAGTAATACGAGTAGTTGTTACATAATGTAATTATATAATATTGAGTAGTGATTATGAGATAAATTATTATATATAATACAATATTAAATATTAAATTATATTGTATATAATGTACAATATAATCAAGATTTTATTATATTAAATATTAAATTAAAGAAAGAAAGAAAAGAAAATTGAACGCTCTCTAGAGTTCCAATCAAAACGCACAGATAATACAAAATTAGTAATAAATAATAGATAATAATTTTATTTTATATATCTTTCCCGTAAAACTAAATTACCCAGTCGCAATTTTTATAACCTGTATAATATATACTATAATACCACAAATGTTTTCAACCTGTTCGTCAAAACGTTGAGGGCCAGATTGATAAAATTTCATGCGTGGAAGACGAGAAATCGGTTGACGAGTTGAACCTCAACGCGTGATCTGCATAAGCGATCGTGTTGGATCATCGTATCATCTTCGAACCACCGTTCCGTGTCTCGAAATCACCGAAGAAAGGAACGAAGGAAGGAAGGAAGGAAGGAAGGAAGGAAGGAACGGCGTCAAAGTGATTTATCCCTTCGCCGTTGGAAGCGCGCCTTAAGGTTTCGCAAAATTCACGCGGCAGCGCGAGCGACGACCGAGTGGAATCTCTTGTACATTAAATTAGCCAGGGTTGACGATTAACTCAAGATCATTTACGAGCTCTGGCTACCGCGCTTACCTTCGCTGGCCTCGTATCTCCCGTCCGGCCGCAGTTTTCCGCGGTAACTGGCGGTAATTGAATTCGAGAGCAGCCCCCCTCCCGTATTCCTAACTCGATTCTCTCTGTAAACCGGGGAAAAATACCTTGATAGCTCGTCCGCAAGAAAACTCTGCGCTTCCCTCTCTTTCTCGAATGTTAAAAAATATGTAATTTCCTCTCCTCCTTCCGCGTTCCGGGACGATCATTTAACATTCTGTAATTCCAAACTGTTTACAATTCATATTGCGACCGTTTACTTTGTCAACGATACGTTCGCGGGAGAGAAGTAACTGTTAGTAAATATTATATTCGCGAAAATTGCGTGTTTTGCAGCGTGTATGAATTTTCGATCATTTCCACCCTTTGCCCCGTGCAGATTTTCTTTCACAGTTTTGCCCATATCGACCAATTTTCAACAGTCGATTCACAGATTTTTTTAGATCATACTACGCAAATTATCCAAATTATCGTGCTGTTCTGTTTCGTTTGCTTGCAAATTCGTTACTTTTCCAGGTACGCGTGACCTGTCTTGCAATTTTACAATATTTACAGTTTACAATTCGTATTGCGAAAGTTGTATGTTGCGTTTGGATTTCTCAATTATTCCCCTTTGCAGTTCTCTTCTACAGTTTTATCGACAATCAATTTTAATAGTTGAATCAAATCCTGTGCAAATTGAGGGAAAAATTATCGTGCCGTTTTATTTCTACTTGTACACTCGTGATTACACATTTATTTCAAATACAAAACTCGGAGAATTTACAAGCCACTCCCTTACGTATTTTCTCATCTCCGTATCTTCTGAATAATAATACTTCATCAACGACGTAGATCAAGGACACTTATATTATCTGCTAATATCACGATCTCTCTCTCTAGTTTCCTGGCCTGACTTTACCGAGGGTAGAAACATCTCAAGAACGTACGGTTCCATTATTACATATGTGTGTGTGTGTGTGTGTGTGTGTGTGTATGTGTGTAAAATATAAATAGCATCGCAAGAGTTTACTCGCGAAAAAATACACCGGTGTTCACAGTGAACCAGCGCCATAACGGTCGAGGCACCCCATTGAGGAGTGGGCGCATCAATAAAACAGGCTCCCACACCTACTGTACTGTACTTAATACATTCAATTTCTCGACTCATGGCTGCATTCACGACGTCAATTACGAAATAACGCTAAACAGAGTGTCGGCCACCTTGCACGTGTAGAGCCGTGGATCTGCCGATTTAACGGTACTCACGTCGCCAACGATCGCCAATCGACCGATTGAGAGAATCGCCGCGATTTCTCGTTTCTCGACGTTGACGATGGTCAACGAGAAATCGGTACCACCTTGCTCTCCAACGAAAGAGAGAGAGACAGACAGAAGAAAAAGAAAAGAAAGGAGAAAGAAAAAAAAAGGTTAAACGAAAACGATCGAACGCTAAGCGAAGCGTTAGTTCCCGGCTCGCGAGCCGCGCGTCGATCGACCGACCGACCGATCGATCGATCGATCGATCGATCGATCGATCGATCGATCGATGACGTCGCGAGCAAAAGCGTGTCGTGCACGAAGTGGAAGGTATCAAGAGAGTAACATCCACGAGTGCAGGATCGTGTGCCGGCGGGAGGAGGTCAAAGAACGCGAATCGCAAACTCATGCGATCGGCGCGTTGCGGCGGCCTCTCTCGTGAGCGAACACCGTGAGCTCGGGTGAGCTCTGGCGAGAAGAGAAGGAGGGCCGAGCAGATGTAAGGGGCGAGCGCGACAAGGAGGAGGATAGCTGGTATTTGCCAGCTGCCGTTGAACGTGTTCAATGCCGCGGTTGGAGCAAGAAAGCGGTCGGAGAGAAGAGGTCGGTCGGTCGGCCGCTCTGCCGCCGCTCGTCGGTTCCGCGAGCTCTGGTGGGGATGGAGCCGTGTGGGCCGCCTGCTGGCTGCTGCTACTCCTGCTTCGTGTTCCTCTTTCGACTTCAGTCTCTGTCTATACGTACCGGGAGGTATTGCCATTGCTGGGCCGGCTAGCCATGCTCTAGGCTCACGACCGTTTCTACTCGCTCGAGAGGAGCACCGCGCACCACCTGGATTCGTCACTCTTTCTCGCTCTCTCTCTCTCTCTCTCTTTCTCTCTCTGTCTCAGGTACGACCGAAACTGTCACGGTTAGAGGAGGAAGTATCCTTCTTAAGTTGACAGTAGAGGCCCGCCGAGCGGAGTGAATCGCTCTAGAAAATCGAAACAACGTGCTCCGTGCTCAACAAGCTGCTCCTTCTCTCCCTCCCTTTCTCTCTCGATTCCTCGAAAACGAAAATCCCTCGGTGTTCTTGGTGTGTTTGGGAGCTTCAGTGGCTTGCTTGCGAGCGGGGAGTGTCGTCGCGTTGGGATCGTCTCTCAGCTCGTAAATCGTAACTGCGTTCGTATCGCCGCGGTATAACGGAGTCGTATCCGGCAGTGCAAAAGGAGTGGGGAGGGGAGAGGGGAGGAAAAAAAGCGCGCGGAACTCGGCAGGAAGCTCGAGCTCGTTGGTCGTGGTCGCTTCGCAACTGAAAGTCAGCGAGGAAATCCAAAGTCCAAGGAACGAGTTGGAAAAAGACGTTCAACGCGCAGAGTTCACGCGCTCTCAGAGGTATGGTTGACAGCCGACGAAGACGAAGCGAAAGGCAGCTTCGAACTCGTTAACCGGTTTCCGCGGATCGGCATGCAGAACGACACTCGGTGAACGACTCACGTACGTACGTACGCGAAGCGAAGCGGAGCGAGGCGAAGCGGAACCCTGGATGTTCACCGTGCGTGTCCCACGCGTAAAGCGATCGGACCGGTCTGCTGGATCAGAGACGGATGATCACCTGCCAACAGGGATAGTATACCTCGAAGCGGTACAAGCTGGTACTGGATAATTTCTCCAAGATCTCCGCAGCGTGCGCCTCCGAAAACGTAGCGAACGACTGCGAGAACGTGTTTGCGCGACGAAATTCTTCGAAATCAGTGAAACGAAAAGGCGAGAAATCGTCACGGCGAGAGGGGGAGATTGTTGTTCCAGCAGCCCCGAAACTGAGAGAAGGAAGAAACACGTGTGTGTGTGTGTGTGTGTGTGTGTGTGTGTCGATCGTCGAAACGTGCCTCGTTCGTGACTCTGCGAGGTATTTTTACACGGTGCGTGATTCGGATTCCAAAGGGGATACACAAGCCGATCCGAAATCCGCATCCGGTTGGTTGTTACAAGCGATCGAGTAAATTTCACGAAATACAAAGGTAAATATCGTATTTTCATCCTGTCCAGGTGAATTCCACGAAAAGCGTGCCTGTTCGTCGACGAGTGAATGAAGGTTTCACCGCGTAGCGCCGCTGTCGTATGTACAACCAACCGGTATGTACGACCGGTAGTATGCGAATTAGAAAGTGTGGTAGGTGTGCGGTGTCGTGGGCACAAGTGGGCGCCAGTTAAGTCAACCTCGAGCTACTACCTCCTCGAGGGAAACTCGTGTTTCCGATCGCCACCGTTTTCTTTCCATCCGCGGTGCGTGACCTTCGATTCGGTTGAACAACCGTTGACGAAGTATGAAACATCGCGTCCGACCGTGGCTGCTTTCCAACGACGTTCCACCGGCGAGATTGCTCCGCAAACTCGGTATGGTAAATCGATGGTTCGCCAAGTGGAATTCACGCGTGTATTTGCGCGCGACCGCCCGATCGCGTAGCGCGTACAGTGAACGAGAAGACAGATCGCGTGGCCGTGGTGTTCGTCGTTTGATCGAACGAGCTTCGAACAAAGAGGAAAAATTGGCAAAATCTGGCGAAAGCCGCCGCAAACCGTGCGCTTCGTGCCGAGCTGGAGGACGAAGAAGTGCAACGGTCGCCGTGGCATGAGGAGGTTCACACGCAGGCGCAAAACCCTGGCCGCATTCTCTGCGATTATGGGACGCCTTGGCAAAGGCTCGCAGAGCACGACGAGGCCCATCTTCAGGGTGCAGTATCGCAAACTCGTGGACGAGTACTCGCAGCAACAGGAACAGCTCAAGTTTATGCCAGCGTTACCCGACTACATGTCCTACTGCTGTTGCCGATGCGGTCACACTCAAAAACTCAAAGTAAGTTTTTACACGTGTAATACCATTCGCCGTCACCATGTATATCGTACGTGTACATACTCACGCACGTACGTATGTACGAAAAAGGTGATCGATCAGTTGTAAATCTTCCTCTAGTGATTTTGATGATTATTTAACACTTTTGCATATATGTGTGCACTTGACTTTCGTTGTCGAAAAATATCAATATAAATAAATAAGTGAAAATATTTGTTGACAACTCTATCAAAATATTCTACGTATAAATCGCTGTAATTTAAATGGTGATTGAAATGATTAGATTTACGTAATCGTGCCTCTGTTCAAACAGAACTTTGGCAAGAACAGCCGTCTGTCTTTTAAATATTTACTGCTCGTAAAACTTAGGAGATATTTCAAAGTGAATATGAAGCGATAAAAAAGAAGCATTTGATTTTTTTTTTTTTTTTTTCATTAAACAAGAACATTAGAAAATATTACGTCGTTTGCTTTTCTGATGTTCTTGTTTAATAAAAAAGAAAAAAAAGTCAAATGCTTCCTTTTTTCATCGCTTCATACTCGTTTTGAAATATCCCCTAATTTTTGCGAGCAGTGTAGTTCAAACGAAAGTCTGAGGATCAGTCGTATCGATGATACTATAATAACAAAACCTATACAATTATTTCTAACACGTATATAAAAATAATATCGCTTGCTGTCCCCCGTGACTGTCATTTCGGGAAAGTGTTCACACAGAATTCATATCATTTCCAAATACAATAAAGTTTCATAGTTCTCAGACGCGAAAAGGAATATGCGAAAAGAAAGAGAAAAGAAAATGAAATGGTCCGTTCCATTTGAACGCAATTAACGCGAGACAGACAGTGAGGCAAACCTCAGGAGGGGATAAGATCGTCCGCGCGACACTCGATAGCATCAGTTTCCAGTTTCCAGCTATATTCTTCGTAAAGAGCGGAAAGAGGCAGGTAGGAGCCGCACGCGAGTCAACTTTCACGCCAACGTTTGCGTCATTAAAATGATCCCGAGGCTTATCTTTTATCTGTACCTTTCATTTTTCGTGCCGAGTCGTGCGAGCGTTGCTCGTCGTTCGCCGCGGCTCGCCGCTGCTCGCGCCGCAAATCATCGGGAACATCTTACCAGTGTTAACCAATCGCGATTTAGTTGCGGTACCGCAACGTGACCCCGAATACGCGCCGGTGCATCTGGCAGGTAGGAATTCGAGAAACCGAGCGCCTCCATTGTTTCGCCAAATGGAGCCCAGGCTAGTGAAAATATGGCTAGTCATTTTTTGTTACTGACAGAGACACGACTCGACGCGAGTGTCTTTTTTTTCTTTTTTTTTTCTCTTTCTTTCTTTCTTTGTTGTTTCATTCGACGTGAAAACGGGGTTAGGAATTAGTCGTACACGAGTCCCGAGGTATCTTTGGTATCTTCAAAAGAGATCAAAGTACGAATCGAAAAGAATACGTAAGCGCCACAATCAGTATAATATAGTGTCGCGACGACATATGTAGGTGTAATTTGTAGATTGCAGATTGTAGTATGCGACATTTTTATATCGATAAATACCGGAGTTGGAAGTGTCGTGTCTTGTTCGAATAAAAGTTCTGTAAAACTGTAAATTTTTGATTATTTTTTTTTTTTTTAACTACGACGGGACGGAAGAAACGAGTAAGGGCAAGTAGGGGCTCACAACGAAAAATACTTCGTACAGAATACTGACTGATAAATATTCTAGAAATTTTCTTTCTGTTAATATTAATATTATTAATGTAATTATAGCTATATATTATATATTAATAATATAATTAACATTAATGTTATTAATGTAATTATAGCTATATATTATATATTAATAATATAATTAATATTAATATTACCAATTTAATTACAGTTATATATTATATTATGCTATTATAGATATTCTCTTTTAAAAAACTGTCCCGTTATTGAAATTTCGTTCTGGCAGTGTTTCTAATTTCGCGATACTCTCGCGGGATCGACCAAACAGGAAATAACGTGCAATTTAACCGACAGAGCTCTCACAATGAGAAACTCTGCGTAACTTGCACGGAGGCTCGCGCGAGGAAAGAAACGTAACAACTTGCCACTTCTCGCGCCGTTTTATACCCGGTTCAACTGGTCGACGGTGTTAAATAGATCCGCTGTCCTAGTATGTCCCGAAACGAACTGGTTTAACCAAACATGGGAGGAGGAGAGAAGGCTCCAAAGAAAATCTAAGAAACCGTAGATCCCTTCGAGAACGAACACGATCCGAACACGAGCTGAGAAAGTCCCAGAGTGGGAGAGGTTGGAATCCTAAGCCGAACGAATACATATCTAAACTGAGGCAGGAATTTGTTAAAAGGGGAATGGAGAGAAAGAGGAAACTGGGAAACTGTGCTATCTGAGGTTGAGGTATTTTCAAAAAGGGACGCGTTAATGTCGCTTCGAAGGGACGTACTCGATAACTTGTAGGGGGCGCTCCGGTGCTCGGAACATTCCACGCGTGCCGCTGGAATTATCGAGTGATTTTTTTTTATCGTATTCGACAAACTATGTTGCCCAACGAGCCACGCGATAAATTTGAAAAAATTCTCCAAAGCAGATGCGTATGTCCTTACGACGATACATTGCTCAAATCCTCGAAAACCGATTTTTTGGCTCTCTAATGACTTCGTTCTAGCAACGTCACTTTGCCCAATTAACCACTTGCGCTGGCAACCGATTGCGGACCGTAACGAGTGACCAAACCGTATACAACAATTCGTCGCTTTCCTTTTCAACTCGTCGGTATGATATCATTGGATAGAAATTATATTGAGAAATAACAAATTTATTATTTGCTTTGCCTATTTTGTTTTATTTAAATATGTTATAACATAACCTATATTATACCTAATATAATTTATGTCCTAGTTAAATACATTGACATTTAGCGTGTTTATTATATTACAGATTAAAGCTGTATTGACTTTTAAATAAAATAAAATTTTCTACAGTGTCAGAAAACGACATTATTATAGGTAATCTTAACTAGTTGCGCTGGCAACCGATTGCGGACCATAACGAGTGACCAAACCGTATACAATAATTCGTCGCTTTCTTTTTGAACTCGTAGATATGGCATCACTGGATAGAAATTATTGAGAAGTAATAAATTTATCATTTACTTTGCCTATTTTGTTTTACTTAATTATATAATTTTACTTATTATAACATGTTATGCAATAATATATATGTTGTAACATAACCTATGTTATGCCTGATATAACTTATATTCTAGTTAAATACATTGACATTTAGTGTGTTTATTGTTAAATTATATTACAGATTATAGATGTATTAACTTTTCAATAAAATAAAATTTTCTACAGTGTCAGAAAACGACATTATTATAAGTATCCTTAACCACTTGCGCTGACAACCGATTACGGACTATAACGAGTGACCAAACCGTATACATTTCGTCGCTTTCTTTTCGAACTCGTCGGTATGATATCACTGGATAGAAATTATTGATAAGTAATAAATTTATTATTCGTTTTGCCTGTGTTATACTTGAATATACTTAAAATATGAGAAAATATTGCAATTTTGGGGCAAAAAATTCTCCACGTGCGTGGCTCGTCATTCCAGCGCAAGAGGTTAAGCGAACATTTTGTTGTGACACTGTGTAAAACACCGAAAAGTCTACAAACGTGGACAAAGTTGCAAATCGATTTGCCGGGATCTAGGAGAGTCCACCGATCGTACGAATGCATGCAGAAGCCTTCGAACGGCCTAACCTTAGCGATATTACCATCGCAGAAGAGGCGGGAGAGGGAAAGAGAAAGTGAGAGAGAGAGAGAGAGAGAGAGAGAGAGAAAAGAGAAAGAGAGAGAGAGAAGAGAGGGTATAAGCCGTGGGATCGGACAGGCACATTCCTCAGGACCGTACTTATAGCTGCTCGTGGCATCGGATACCTCGTGCTTGCTGCCTCTTGTCTCTTTGCCGACAGTCTCTGCATAATACTGATATTTCAGCAGCTTCCCCTTTTCCTCTTTTAAAACGCCCGTCGTTTTATAAGGTGAATCGAAATCGCGGGAAATTTCCGAATTCCGAAATTTCGAATTACTTACGGTAATGAAATTATTATACTTATTGGTTTACGTTGACGATCTTCGAATGTAGGTAGGTGTACAATCAACGATCCTTTCTTAGTTAGAAAAATGTTGGACTTCGAGGAGAACATGAGTTCATTTCGTCCAAGTGTTTGTTTTTACATATACATACATATATGAGAATCGGCGACTGAACGATCGCGTTTCTCCATTTTCACAAACGTTTGTAGTATTTGCAGAGAAAAATGAGAAAATTTCGAGAAAACTTATTAATTTATGTTAACAATCTCTCCATCGTTCGCGTTTCGGAATTTTAGAAAAATGTTGGGTCTCAAGACACGAGTTTATTTCGTTCTTATGTACACGAGAATCGCGCCTCTGCATTTATACAAGTATTTGTAACAAAGGGCAAGAGTACTCGTGAACCTTGTCATGGTTTTTGTTCCCTAATTAAGCAATCTAATCTATCGTTTGTCGGGGTTCTGTTTGGGTGACCATGTGATTCACGAAGAGCGGGTAGTCACCGGACAAAAATACAAAGAAACCTGTCAAGTATATTTGTGAGATTTGATGACAATACAAAATGTAAAACTATGCACGTTTAACATATAGGGTGGACCAAAAGTTTCTTCCCACTTTTTTTTTTCTTTTTTGATAAAACATCAAAATATAAAAAAAAAACTAATTTTATTAATTTCAAATTAAATTTAAGTTCAAGCATGTTTTAAAAATTATTTATTTTCTAATGAAATTACTTACTACTAGATTTATTTTAGTAGGATGTGTGTTTCTGGCTCACCATTTATACATTAAATGACATACAAGGGCGAATCATTCGTGTCAGAAAATTAACGTCTAGGAGATTAACATAAATTAATCGTGCAAATAATAATACGTTAATTCCCTCGGAACTGCGTG